GGGCAATTTCTCCAGGAATGCCTTTGGGGCGAGAAGGGCTCAAAAAGGGCTCCAGGCTCTCGATCATTGTGGTTAATTTTTTTTTTTTGTTTTAAATAGGGCCACCATTAATGAGGGGATAAATGAGTCAGCGTGGGGAGGGGAGAGGGAACCCACATCCTTTGTGTCTCCAGTGAATGGTTCAGGGCTCAGGAGTTATTCAGGGAGAAGCTCCCCCAGCCTGGTGTGTCATTCACCTGACTAATGCCAAGAAAATTAAGCACTTTTTTATTCTTTTTTTTGCATCTCTGGGTTTATTGGAGAATAACGCGGCGTGCGATAGCAGGCATGGGGTTATGAAATGGTGTTTTCATTTTTGGAAGGAAGGGAAACGGCTCGGGCATAAATTATGTTTCCGATCGTATTTGGCAATTTCAGATTAAAAATAAATTTCCACTTTGGGGTTATAGATTGCCATCTATCAGCTGCGTGAAAAGGAAAAAAGGAATTAAAAGAAAAAATCTGGTTGGACAAATTGCCTTGCTATGACCTACTTATTGAAAGTAATTCTTTTTTCTTTTTTTTTCCTTTTTCCAGGAATGAAATCTTTAGTTGTGAGGAGGCGTAGTATTGTATGTCTATAGGTTTTTCTGGCAGGAATATAGGCACGGGTCGTATGGGGGGGATCTATCTACTGTCCCTGCAAGCAGCTATGAGTAAATAGATGCTAGAATTGTGCTAGATATTTCGGAGAAGGCTGAAAAAAATGCAGAAATCATGTTGTTTTACCTGATAGAGGCACCGTAAGTGCAGTTTTGCATCTGGTGAGCAGCCCTTGGACCACTCGGATCTGCAGATGAGATGCTGGGGCTTGGGTTTGTTCAAAAAGCCTGAGTTTGGGGTGGTGTTTGCTGGAAGGTGAGGGGAGTGGAACTTTTTGGGAACTGATTTGCTTAAATATCTTCAAATGAAAGCCCCAGGCTGATGGAGAGGAAGGCCCAGGTGAGCCAGGGGTGGGAAGATGCTTAGGGGAGCAGCTGTGAACTGGTGCTGCTGCCTTTCACTTTGTCCTATCCCTTCATGGAAAATGGAGTAAATATCTGCTGAAAAAGGGGTTTTCTTGGCTGACAGATTGCTGGGCTTCTAGCCGTGCCCTCTACAAGTCTCCTCCATCCCCAGCCATCATCTCTCCCAGGGAGATGCTCCTCCGTGAAAGTAAACCCATGGGGTTTTGCTCCTTCTGACCCTTTCTCTCCCCAATTTTGGCATCCTCCCCTCTGGTCTCCATCTCCCCAGGGGAAATCCATCCCTTTCCCAGTCCCCAGAGGTGCCAGCATCCCTGTTTTGTGGTCTCTGCCAGGAGAGGGGGGCCTTTAGCCTTGCTGGAAAAGAAGGTAGAGGAGATAGATATTTATCTCCCTATCTATCTATTTACCTGGAGCGTGCCTGGGCTTTGCTGGTTGTGTTTGTCTCCTGCCTGTTGCTCGCAAGAGAGGGGGGGGAAAATAAATAAATAAATAAAAAAAAATAGACTTTTTATCAAAGTGGGAAGAAGCTGAAAGCAAGAGGCTGCGTTTCGTGCTCGGGGAGGTGCTGCTTTGCAAGCGGCTTAGCCCGGCTACGGCAGCTTCTGCTGCTGCCGTGGCCAAAAAAAAACCACCCAGCCGAAGCAAAAAAAATAAAAAAATAATAAAATAAAATAAAAAAAAAGCCTCTCTCATCCCCAGAGGAGGCTACAAAGCTCTCTTTCTCTCGCTGCCGAACCTTCACAGCTGGACTCGGTTGCCGGCTCCTCCGCCGCTGGAGCCACTGAATTATTTAAAGGCGTCTTGATTTGGTTTTCTCTTTGCTGTTTTGGCGCACGGTGTTTATTGTCTATAGATATTTTTTACAGTCTGAAGCAATTAGGGCTGTCGGAAGAGAGACGGGCTGTGACAGGGCTGATTTATACCCACGTTGTGTGTGTGCAAGAGAGGGGGAGTTGGAGATGGGGAGATAGACCCCGGGTTCTGCTGGGCTTCATATGCAGGAGTTGGGTTGAAATCCCTTGGGATTTTTCAAAGAAAGCTGCTGATCTTTTAACAACGGGCCAAATTCTGCTTTTGCAAGGGTCGAAGCTGCTCATCAGGTCACGTTCTGCCCCAACCTCGGGTGCTTTGATGATGGGCAAGAGTCTCTTCTGGTGATTTTTAAGGTGCTCCTGGCAATCTGGGCTTGTGTTAAAAGGTTAAGTGGCCGTGGATATTGGAATCCCTTTGGTTTTGCTGACACAGGAGGTGGTCTCTGCACATCCAGAGGAGCAGCCTCACAGAGAGAGTCAACTCTTGCATGATGAGGGCAGCGATGGCTTGTAGGTTCTCCATAGGAAGGTGTCCCTCAGCAGGGAAGGGGTGGCACAGGGGGGTCCCCATCCACGTGGGGGGGGGGGTCTTTGGATGGTGCAGGAATCGGCAAAACCAGCATTTTGTATTTTTTGCTGCCTCGTGTGCCCTGGAGCAATGCCACCCCCCTGGATGAGGAGTTTGGCCCCACCACTGATGGTTTGACTTCTTGCAGTTGGGTTTCAGAGCCCCCCTCCCGTGTAATTAGAGCCTGTTGGAGGTGGGCATTTTACCCTCCCACCCCCAGGAGCAGAGTGAGCTGCAGAGATTAAACTCCTCCTGCCAAAAGCTGGGGGGGAGCTGCCTTCTCTGGGGGGAAAAAGTAGGACTTGAGTCCCACCGGTGCCAAATTCAAGGAGCCCTGGGAAGGAGGAGAGAGGCTTGCAGAGCAATCCCCTTCTCATATGACCTATCAGCTGGCACAATAATAATAAAGCTTTATTTGATTGAGCGTTTCCTCTTTGCCCCGGCGCGGCTCGTAATGTTTTTAGAGATTAAATAGCACCGTTAGTGAATTAAGCAGTAGTTTACAGGGGATTCGGAGACTCCGGGGATTAGTAACGGGCTATGGATCCTTTCACATCTAGGTCACCAGTTGGAAGGCAGCTCAGGTTGGCAGCGATTTCGAGGAGGAGGAGGGGAAGAAAAAAAGAAAGAAAGAAGGGGAAAAAAAAAAAATAAAAATGGTGCTGTGTAATAGCTGCGGAGCAGGCGGTGGGAAATGGAGGGAGGACTTTTGGATAAGGTCCTACGTGGTGGAGAGGCCACCCAGGACAGCAGGAGGCCTGGTTTTCCCTAAATCTGGGCTGCTGCAGGTCTGGGGGGGGCTCAGCACCCCGAAAATTGGGGCTGGGCTGCACTTGGTCGGTGGCTTTGGGACTTTGTGCTCTGAGGATGGCTCCCCGGCACCTTTAACCAGCATGAAACCGTGCCTTGGAAATATTAATGTGTGCAGCTGCTAGCGGAGGGAAGGAGGAATTACCCAGGCATAAGAAAATGGGATATTTGTTAAAATTATGAGCTGATATAAAAAAAAGAAAAAGTACGTGGGGACCCGTGCCGTGTGGCTGGGGAGGAATTCGCCGCTTGAGCTCGTGCTGTGTGTGTGTGTGAGGGGGCAGAGGAGTCGTCACCTGCCTGATTTTTGGAGTTGGGGAGGGAGGGAGGGATGGAGGGGGAGCACATCAAGTAAATTTAAGGCTGGCCTGGTAAATCCAGGTCAGGTGGTCACCAAGGGAATAGCTTTGAAACCAAATCAAGGAACTGTTTTTTTTGATGTGCGCGGATCAAAAGAGTGAAAAGGGGTGAATGTCATTTACCCAACTGAGTTCAGTTATCTCAGTGTGTACAGTGTATGTCACAAATACAATACAAATAATGAATAACAGTAATAATCATAGTTAACAGATGGGAGGTCTTGATATGTTTACTAGGGTTATAACGAATGTTTATAGAGGCAAGAGCTCCAGAACTATATATTCTGCCCAGTCACTTAGTTAGCAGGTCTGCTTCTCTGCATCACATTCTCACATCATTGTGGGCCTGGGAATTGCAGTTCAATATGGTTAAAATTAATGT